GCGTTACAGAGGCCCCGCAGCCACCGGCGCGGCTCGCCGGGCCTCGGCTGCGGCCAAAGTTGCACTTGCTAAATAAAACACTTCAGTTTTCCAAACAGACGAGTGATTTGTGTGGTGAGTCCACGCGGTGTGCCAAGGCCGGCCCGGCACGTGGGGCTCCCAGCTCCTCGGCTCGCAGAAGGCCTTAGCTGAAAGGCCCGGTTCTCCCAGCAGGGCTGCGAGTATCGGACAAGGCTGGATCATAGAATCATTGTGGCTGGAAAAGATATTTTAGATCATCAAATTCATCTGCAAGCCCCTCAACACTGTGCCCGTTAAACTGTGTCCCTAAGTGCCTCTTTAAGAAAAAATGCTTCTTTACCATGGCCAGGGGCAGTGACTCCATCACTTCCCTGGGCAGCCTGTTCCAGTGCTTGACTACTCTTTCCATGCAGAACTTCTTCCTAATGTCTAACCTCCCCTGAACCTCCCCTGGCACAACTTGAGGCCATTTCCTCTTGTTCTATCGGTTGTTGTTCTGGAGAAGAGATCAACCCCCACATCACTACCACCTCCTTTTGGGTAGCTGTGGAGAGCGATAAGGTCTCTCCTGAGCCTCCTCTTCTCCAGACTAAACAAGCCCGGCTCCCACAGCCGCTGCTCAGGTCTGTGCACCAGCCCTTTCCTCAGCTTCGCTGCTCTTCTTCGGACGCGCTCCCGCACCTCCGTGTGTTTTGTAGGTGAGGTGAGCCAGGAGGGAACTCTCCTGCCACAACAAGCAGGGACTTGTTTCCATTCTCCCTTGTTTCTCACTTCCACCCGCTGTGCCCTAGAGCAGGAGGGTAGGGGATCCTCAGGTGGCTTTGGAGTGCACGTGTCACCTCAGCCTGTGTCCCCACAGTGCTCCTGGTGCTGGCTTTGTGCCGAGCGGACACCATGGCTTTGGCGGCTCCGTCAGGGAGGGTAACAACCGCGGGGAGAGCTCTCCTTGCGGGCAGGGAGCAGCCCCTTGGCCTGCCCACGTGCAGCGCTGCTGCGCGGCGCCCTGCTCGCCCGCGTCCCCGGGCTGCTCCTGTAGGATCGGGGCTCGCGGGGCCCCCGCCGGGGGGGGGGGGCGCGCGGC